AAAACTGTCCCACGTTTTCACCATTGCAACTCAAAACCATAGTATATCTATTAAAAACACAGTCATTTTAAACAAAGAACCCAACACAAACAAATGAAAAATCAAGGAATCCATCTTAATTGAACAAAACAACCCTACTCTAAACCAACACCCCGGGGTGCCTAGATGTGCCTTCTTTGTTAAATACTGTATATATATATATATATATCCATGTCAGTGTAAATTACTTGTACCTGATGATGACAAAACCTTGTTGAAACGTTGTACATTTGCTGTTATGTTAAACTTATATTAAAGTTTTTCTTCATTATCCATTCAAGCCGTCTCCAGCTATTATTAGTCTCAAAGTGGGTTCCTCATCATCGAAGTTGTGCTTATGTTTGTTAGCTTTATAATTCAGTTTACTGAATTTATTCAGTAATATTTCAATTTATATATGGGTTTTCTACTTTGTATATGATACCACAATGAAACTGAACAAAGAAATGTTTTCCAGGTACAAATTAAACACATAAAAACATGATTTCACCATTTCAAAATTCTTTAAAAAGTTTTAAATTGAAATACACAAATTCCTTACAAACATAAATTATTGAAAAATAGAGCAATTGTAAATTGGGTTAGTGTTCATAGAGCATAGGAGTTCATATCTAAAATAAACATCTGGGATTCCTAACCAGATAATGGTTTTTCCAGCTTATTGAAATCTAAGTTAATGTTTGTGAGAAATAAAAAGCAGCAGCATATAATTGCATAAGAATATAGATATATCCTCTTCACCAACTATTAGCAAAGTAAAATGTTATACATCAATATGTTAATATGATGTGTAAAGTGTTCAGATTTACAGACAAGAAATCCCAAAAATTTACGAGTGAAAGTAAAAAATAATGTATAACAATATATTGATCACCTTACGTAACCTTCATCTTATATGGGTCATAAAATAATGACATTTAGGATAATGATTCATTTTTCAATCCAAAATACCACTCTCTTATTGATTTCAGTGTTTCTGCTTTGTCTATATGAATTATTGCTATAATATTGTTACTTTGTGTGGTTACTTATAACTTCTATATCTCTATATCTAACACAATATAAATGTGTTCATGAGATTGGTAAATCGAATCTTGTATTTTGAATGAATATAGCTTAACTGTTCAGGAAAAAATAAAATAACGAATGTGGCTTTGATCATGTTTTGCAGTATTTAACAGTTTGTAGTACTGCACCCCACAATTGTATCTTCTCTGATGTAAACTAGTGCAGAGAGGGTGTAACAGTTTTACTTTTTCCTTAGGGTAGTAAAAATTAAGAGCCAGTGAACTGCAATGTTGTGTCTAAAAATGCTAACAAATCTGTGGGATATAGTATACACAGAATATTCACAATGATTAAGTTAGATTTTCTTTTGGTCCCCCCCCCTCAACATTTTTGGTTGAACAACTGTAGTTCTAGAACTAGAATAAATTAAAATACTGCAAGGTTTCCCATAAATAAATTTGTTGATTCATGGGCTGCTTTTTTTAAAATTTAGATAATACACTCCTTATTTCAATTGAGGCAGGTAGAATATTCTAATTCTCAATATTTTGTTTCCTTGGTTCATTACCCATGATCGATTCCTCACAGGTTTACATGTAATATTCAGATTTTTCCATACAGTTCCCATTTACTGTTATACCTTGGGAGCAGTTTCTAATAATATATCCTTTTAAGTTGCAACTGAAACACCTTCTTTCACACAGTTTACTTCTTCCATTTTGAGTAACCAACTGTCAATTCTCTCAGTTCTCCAAGACTAATTTCAAGAAGAGTTGTTGTTTCAGTACCATTTGATCTAATGAACCTGTTAAAATTTTTAAATGATGATGTCTTTAGTTGAGTATCTGCATCTTACATGGTTTCACATTCCATCACAAACTGGAGAGCTCACTTTAAGAGGTACACCAAATTTGTTTTATTCTTGTTTCTTATGGCATCTATGAATTTATTACATTCTAACAAATTGATCATTTCACATGGAGTATCAAGGTAAGATAACTGGGCAAGTCTTTCCAAGTCTTCCACAAATTTAACAAAGATCTCTTCTTTTTGCAGCATTCTACACCTAAACTTGGCTCAGAAAACTTCATTCTGATGTGTTAATCCAAAACTATTCGATAAGGCAACTGCCAATGCTTGATATTTGTTACGGTTTTCAGTTAGAAGGTTGTTTAATATCATTAAAGCTGGACTTTTAAATTGGCAGCAAGATGAATAGCTGATTGTTCAGTGTTTCACCTGTTTACCTATGGCACAGTAGTAGTGGTAACAGGTGTAGTCCATATATCATAGTTTCTCCTGTTCTATATTTTATAGTAAATGATGTTTTACACTGGAATTACTGGGCAGATGCACAAATAGGCATAACTAGTTTGTTCATTAGTTTTACCAATCTGTTTTCATATGTTTTATTTTGTCATTATATTCTCTTCTACATCATTGTACTTACTGTTATAATCCTTCTGCACTTCATAGATGTCTTTGTACATCTTCCATTTTGTTTTTCTAAACCCTCTGTATATCTCCAATAGGTTTGACAATTTTTAGCGGCAGCGTAGCCGTTCATTGAATGGCTCCGAGTTTTTGTTGTTGTTTGTTTTTCAAGTACAAACTTTTAGCTCATAGCTCCTCATCCATTGACCAATTTGAGATCTAATTACAGTTTTGGACTGGGCAAGTCAAACACTTTTGATTGGTGTATTTGAACATACTCAAGGTCTCATAGATTAATTTATTCTAATCCTGCCTCAAAGAATTTCAAGTGCCGCTGCTATTGAGGATTCCCTCTTCTTTTTTCATTCACATTCCTTTTTGTTCTTAATTTTTCTTTAATTATTTTGTCTCTTTCTTTTAACCCTTCTTCTATATTCGAAGCTCTTACTTCTTGGCCTTCTTTTAATCTTTTATCTCTTTCTTCTTGATCTTTTTTTTTTAAATGTCCTGTCTCTTTCCGTTTCTTTTTTTTTTCACAGTTTCATTATTTCTAGCAAGTTTTCGATCACTTTTCGTGCTTGGATTGTCATCTTGAAGTTTGGTCAAAGTTCTATTTTATTTTCACCAAAATAAGCTCACTTGTGATACCATTACCAGAGTGCAACGTGTTACTTTTGTTGATTTATTGAGCGAGTTCTTTTCAGTTTGGTAGAAATCATGTGAAGTACAGTCCACAGGCCATTTTCACCGGTAGGTCGAACTTCAAAAACAACTTTTCAACAGAAGTTCTGAAACTAATGTATGCCTAACTCACAAATAAAGCTCAAGTCACATAAAATTTCCTAGCAATCAATAACAAACATGGTGACTGACTTACTAACTCGATCACTGAAGAACACTCACTAAATCTCA